TCTAGAGTCCTACATCTTAACTTTCTCTGACGGGACTACGCATTATTTCTCTTTGGGTCTTTATTTATATAAATATAATTTATATAAATATAAATTGTGGAGCGTCCATGAAGCAATTTAGTTCCTGTTCTCACTTACATCATTGCACCTATAAACAGACGTTTCCTCACCAGCCTCTCTTTTTTCTCTAAAAAAAACCACAACTAAAAAACACAGTTGTTCCACCAAAATCAGACTACTGATACATTTCAACCTCTGTCTGTCTGTCTGTCTGTCTCTCTCTCTCTCACACACACACACACACACAGTTAATGGAGGTGGATGTACTGATGCTGGGATTGCAGCGGCGGCTGGAGCAGCTAGAAAAGAGTGTGTCTGTGTTGGAGAAGGAGGATGATGGTGATCTGTATGGAGCCGTGTCACTGCGAGTCATTGAGCTCGAGCTCGCTGAGGTCCTGGAGCTCATGGGTACACTGAAGAAAACCATCAACTCCCACAAGCAGCTCAGTGAGAGTACAGCCACCAAGGTGACTTACTTCACCACATCACACCACACACCAAACCACATCACATCATGCTTCTTTATAGAGTATACAGTTAGCATGATGATGAACTGGAGGCTTTAAGCATCACTCAGTAGCTACATTACCGTTTTCATTTGCTTCTGTGCCAAACTAAAGAAGGAAAACTTAGAGCTGTGGGGTCCTTAAAGAACAGCCGTCATTTTCTAATTTTGTTAGTGGTGGAAACTGCAATCCACTATTATCAAAATTATTATCCGTATAGATAATGTCAACTAGAATCCATAAAAGTTTTAATAAAAACAGGTTCTAAGTTCAGAAATTAAAGTGCCAGATAAATGCACATTTTTAAAAATAGTTGTTTTTTTTTTACAGTTGAAGGAGTCACTGACTGTCAAATGTTTAGGAACCCCTGCCTTAGAGAATACACCATGTTAAAAAGAAACCCTGTATTTTTAAATAGATAAAGTTCAACTCTATTGCAGTTCAGCTTTGAATATTTTACTGTTTGCATTACAAATATATTGCATTAGAACTTGTTTAGTTATAAACAACTGTTGTATGTTATTATGGTATACTAATCCAATACCAGTTGTCACATCAACCACTTCTGAAAATCTATTTCCCAGAATCCTTCACCTGACCCATCCTGATAACACACATACCTGATTCAAATCAACAGTTCTCTACATATACACACCTCAAAACTATCATTCCTGACTCATCGCTACATTTTGATCCTGATTATTTGAGTTATCTAGCTGCTTGATTCCTTGCATGTTTTTGCCTTTGTCTTTATTACTGATGGCGAGATAAGACTTCATGAAGCATTAAAACTTTCCAGGCAATTATCTTGAAAGAAGGTTCATTTCTTGAGGCTCACTAATGGCCTCTAGTGGTAAAAAATATGACCACTAGAGTAAAGATGACAGCGCTATATGTGGATCAGTAAAGGCCAAAGAGAAATAAAAGGCTGATGTAAGCTAAGTCAAATAAAAGAATTTTTATTACATTTGAATGTTTATTACATTTTTATCATAGTCTGGGGAAAATAAAATAACATACAACATATGGGCAGAGATATTGTTGTGTACGTTAGTAATTCTTAAAGGGAGTAGGGGATCTTCAGAGCTCTGTGAAGCATAGCCAGGGCCTCAGTGATTTCTTTTTTTTTTTTTTTTTTTTTTTTTTTTTTTTTTAAAAAAAATGGCAATCCACCGTTATCATAGTTGTAATATTTATTATTGAGTTCTTATAAGTATTAACCTGCCCACTTGAATTGAATGGATCCAAACTTTAATAACTCAAAAAAAAAAAAATTCAGTCTATAGATAATATAAATAATTTCAAATTTAAATAATGTCAGATTGGGCCTAATGTATCCTGTCTTTGGAAACCCTAGGGCTCACGGAAACTCTTGTGTCACACTTATAGGTCATTGGTGTAATCATATCTTTAAAATTAAAGTCTTTTGTGCGTCTGGACAGACAGACAGTGACTGACTTTCTTTAATTATACATGCTAGTGCATGGTCTGAGTATAGAGGACTCAAAACTTGCTGCCAAAACTGGACCCATTCTCGAAGCAATCCCTAAATGAGGATTCAAGTCATCATCGATGATGTTACAAGAAAGCAACACAAGCATCGATAAGGAGTTTTACCTGAAAGTGTAAACTCAGCGCAACATCACAAGGGTTTGCCATTTAGATTTGTCTGCTTGGTGATTTGCACCAAAAATACCTGCATTTGTATCCAAACCCCTGTCTGTTCTTGACAGCCAGCTATGTGCTATCCCAATGAGACAAGCTGTCTGTAAAATGTATTTTAACACACCTCTTTTATCTTATCTACATTTTAATGAGATTTTGATCTGAACAGTGTATTGTGTAAGTAACTGGTTAAGTGGTGGACAATAGTGATCTGATCTGAAGTGTCTGAATAATTAAATAAGTGGATGATCAGGGTTGTTGTTTTGTCTGTGTGTAATTGAAGGTGAAAAACATGACAGAAGGCATGCAGGAGCTTGAGGCCTTCGATCTTTCGCACGTGGTGAGCAAACAGCGAGAAAATCAGCGCATAAAGCGAGACTTGGCTGAGTGTCAGCATGAGCTTCGGGCCACCCCTCAGCCTCCCGTTCCTCGCCCACGTATGTACACTTTAGCATTTAACCTTACTGTTAATTCAAATGGACACATCAGCAAAAATAAAGAGCTTATGCATCATTATAGTCTGTGTGGGTTTCCTCCGGGTTCTCCAGTTTCCTCCTACCTTCTAAAAACTTGCCTGTACATTTGAGTATGTGTGTGTGCACGGTGCTGTGTGAAGGACTGGCTTCCCAGCGTGTATTCCCACCTCATGCCTAGTTTTCCCATGATAGAGTCCAGATCAGAATCAAGTCGTCACAGAAGATGAATAAATGAATGAAAATGTGTCATAAATGTTCACCTCTCATGGCTGTAATGAAGTATACACCTGAGATTTCACACTTTCTGAGAAATACAAGCTTACTAGCACATATCAATAATCAGACCTGACCAAATTAAACTGGGCAACATAACTAAAGTATATAAGTCCTGTTTGAGTTTTTTTTTATAGTCATAGTGTAAATGTATTTTTTCAGCTGTTGAAATTCAATATTAAATATTCAAAAATATTAAAGCATATATAACTAACATAGGGATACACTCTTGAGCAAGACACTTAACTTCTGTCTGCTTGCATTGTTTTCCTCACTAAAATAATATTTTTTAGTGTCTTCAGTGTTCAGGTTTTTTTTTCATAGTGCATATGTTTAAAAAAATTCTAATAGTCCATTTATAGTGCATCTGATCGTTAAATTTCTTCTTCTTCTCTGTGTGTGTGTATGTGTGTGTGTGTGTGTGTATGTAGGACGCTGTCCACAAGGCCAATTGGTCAATGTGACAGGCCCTAGAACTTACGCCCTCACCCAGTACGGAACCTCATACTATTACGGTGCCTGGGGAAAAGACCCGAAACCTGCTCCAGGAAAGGAGGACATGTACTGGCTGGTGGCTCTGACCAGCAGCAATGCTTTCGCCAACTATGTGCGGCATTACAGCAGTTTGAGCACTATACTGGTAGGCATGGGTCCTGTGGACACTGTCATTTCCTCCTCAAACCCCACCACAAACACCATTATCGGTCCTAACGTGGTGCAGTATGGAGATGCGCTATACTATAGCTGCTATAATTCACCCTCTGTGTGTCGCTTTAACATCTCCACCCGCTCCATCAGCAATACACCACTTCCACAAAACTCTGGCTTCAATAACAAGTTTCCTTTTGGCCACTTGGACGCCACGTACATCTACACAGACTTGGATTTCTCCACAGATGAATCTGGTGTCTGGGTCGTCTACACAGCACCGGACAATTTTGGCAACGTGATCCTTAGTGAAGTGAAAGAAGGAAGTTCTCCGTCTTTGGGCCGAACGTGGCGGACATCACTGCACAAGCGCACTGCCACTAACACCTTCATGGTATGCGGAGTGCTTTACGCCACACGCTTCCTGGACAAACAGACAGAGGAAATTTTCTACTCCTTTGACACAGAGACAAGGGAGGAGCGCTATGATCTGAAGATCCACATCAAGAAAATGCAGCCCAATATCCAGTCTCTGAATTACAACCCACGAGACAGAATGCTCTACGCCTACAGTGACTCATACATCGTCTCGTATGATGCTGTCTTTCGGTAAACAGTTATCAATTGTCATCTCGTACAATGCTGTCTTTCAGTAAACTGTTATTTTCTCATACAACAGTGTGACAGTGACTCAGATCCCCCTTTCTGTAGATGCTGGTGGTTTATACCATTTGAAATTTGGGATCTTTAAATGTCATGACAGATTTTTTTTTTTTAATTGTCTGTAGTTTTGTTTCTTTAATTCCTTTTCAGAATAATATCTGTACAAATTATTATCTCTCATTTATTCTGGAAACACCTCTTTACCAATAAAACATGACTTTATTTTAATGATTGTGCTGTGTGGTCTCAAATGCTTTTATTTAATTATTATCCAGCCATTTTCAACTCATGCGTAGGAACATTTTTTCCTATGAAAAAAAAAAAATAGTTTAGTAAGTAACCAACCATTCAACTTTACAGTGAGCAGAAATAAGTAAGACACTTTGCTTATGCTATTTAATATACTTCCAAGGCATATATCCACTTCAACTTTACACATAAAATGTATTTTGTACTTGCACTGTCAAGTCCATAAATATTTGAACACTCACAAAGTTATTGATATTTTAGCTGTCTACCACAGTATGTTGTTCCTCTTTCGGCTGTTCCCGTTTGGGAGTCACCACAACAGATCATTGGTCCGAGGATTTGATTTGGCACAGTTTTTACACCGGATGCCCTTCCTGATGCATCCCTCCCCAATTTTATTCTGGCTTGGGACCAGCACTGAGAGCGCATTGTTGCACGCAACTCCAGTGGCTAGGGTTGGTTCCCTGGCCAGGGTTTGAACCCAGGCCGCAGCAGTGAGAGCGCTGAGGCCTTACCACTAGTCCTCCAGTGACCTAGCTGTCTACCACAGTAAACTGGAGTTAAATAAATAAATAAACAAATATTTAAATATTTATTATATATGTGGGCAGTTTCATACAACTACCTGAGCTTAATGTTGCACAGCATTATATTGCGCAAAACAACTGCACATATCTGCACTTTCTTAGACTGTTGTCACCACCATCTTTAAATCCTCACATTATATTTTATACTTCTTCTTTTAATACTTTCCCATTTTATGTAACTGTATGTAAATTCAATTTTATGTCATGGTCAGTCGTAAAAAGCATTTCACTACACGCCGTACTGTGTATGGTTGTATGTGACAAATAAATTTGAATTTAATATTAAATAATGAATAATGAATGCTCAAACTGCAGACATTCAGCTTTAATTTGAGGGTATTTAATCCAAATCGAGTGAACAATGTAGGAATTACAGCATTTTTTATGCAGTATTTTTTTATTTTAGCAAGTTCTGAGATGAAAAAAGGCTACCCTAGTAATATAATCTACATAAGCTGCAAATGGGAGACTGGAGTCAGTAATGACACCAAGGTCTTTCACTGCTGCACATGATGTAACTGAAAGGCCATCCAGAGTTACTAAGCAATCAGAAAGCTTACTTCTAGCTGCCTAGTAGAAGTATTTCTGTCTTGTCAGAATTAAGTAGAAGCAAGTTACTCAGCTTCCAATGTCTAATGTCCTTTACATATTCCTCAACTTTTTTAAGCTGGTGCCTGTCATCTGGCTTTGTTGAAACATATACCTGTGTGTCATCAGCATAACAGCTGAAGCTAATACCATGTTTACGAATAATTGTACCCATGGGATAGCAAAATAGAGAAAAGAGCAGTGGCCATAAAACAGAACAAACTTTAAACAAACAAACTTTACTTGAATATGCATGGAGAAGTCACCATTTACATCTACTAACTGATAACAATCAGTTAAATAAGACCTGAGCCTGGAGAGGGCCGTTCTCTTAATAGCAACAACATTTTCTAGTCTATCTAGAAGAATATTATGATAATGGTATGGTAAAAACTGGACTAAGATCAAGCAACACAAGCAAATAGACACAACCCTGACCAGAGGCCAGCAGTAGGTCATTTGCCACTTTAACCAACGCTTTCTCTGTACTGTAATGAGGCCTAAATCCTGACTGATATGAATGTTATTCCTATGGAAGGATGAGCATAACTGCTGTGCTACACCTATTTCTAGGATCCTGGAGAGATCCTGGTGCCTATAGTTAGGTAGCTGACAAGGGTCGAGGACAGGTTTTTTTAATCAGGGGTTTGATAACTGTTAGTTTTAGGATTTAAGCACATAGCCAGTGCTAAGGGAGGAATATATTATTTTTAATAGAGGTTTGATTACTTTGGGTAGTATCTGTTTGAGGAAATGTGTAGATAAGGGATCTAGTACACAAGTGTGATGATTTTGAAGAGGAAATTGGTGAAATTAGTTTATCCTGTTGGAGCGGAATAAAGGATTCTAATCACTGAACTGAAGCGGTTACATTGTCACCTACATAGTTAGTTATCAAATTGTCTGACTTTAAGTTAATATTCTGATTTTTTTGCCTAATATTTTCAATTTTGTCATTTAAAAAATACATAAAGTCATTGCTACTACATATTGTTGGTATTTGTGTTCTATGGTGGTCTTGTTTGTAGTTAACTTTGCTACTGTATTAAATAAGAATCTAGGATTATTTTTGTTATCTTCTATTGAGGTGTATATAGCTGCATCCAGGAGAGCTAGCTTCCTTTAATGCTACATAGTCATTTAGTCTACTCCAAGTTTCTGTTAAACACAGTACATTAAATCCCTGATCAGTAATTTACATTAAGCTTTTAGATGTAAGAGATCTAATATTTGATCTAATATATGAGTATTTCTACATTTTTGTGTACCTTGGGGAACAGACACAGTCTCAATATGGTGAAACCTGAGTCATGACTGAAGGCAGCGAACAGATGGTCAGTTTACCCTGTTTGTCTGTTCTCTGGCCTCAGCTCTGGATTGTCACTGAGGTCTGCTCTGAGACTATCAGCTAGGTTTGCAAGAAATGAGAGCAGCACCTTCCTGAGTGGGATGAATACCGTTCCGTCCTAAAAGGCCAGACTTGCAATCAGACGTGTTCCAATTATCTATAAAGCCCACATTGTTTTCGGAGCACCACCTAGACATTTTGCTTTACCTTTGAACAGCAAAAGTGTCTGCATTTTCCTATTTGTTATCTGCTCTAATAACTCCTGCCTGACCAAATCAAAGTTCCAACCTCTGTTTCATACATATGACACATTAAGCGAGTGTCATATTCCTCTCATCCTGTGGATCAGAAAAAAACACATCACTTAGCCAGCCTTTCTGCTAAGCATGATGTACATAAACAGGAAGTGTACAATGCTAATGATGAGGATGAAAAACATAATGGCCTGTGATTCATGATGAAGACCAGCACTCACAGCACTAATGTTGTGAAGCATTAACACACAAGCGAGAGAGGAGATATGGAGACATTTCTCTCTATCCTTCTTCTTTCTACATATGTTTCTTTTACTGAAAATTAATATTCATCCTCCATTCCAAGATGTATATGATCACAGTAGATTGTCTACTCCAGAGCACAGTATTGATTTGTGCTGAACAGATGTGGAGGACTGGGCAGCTGTTTTCCCCATGCCTCCGGGTCCAGCTGAAGCACAACCTGTGATCGCTTAGTCAGCCTATGCTAAGTTCTGACCAGCAAAGGGCAACCACAAGACACGATCACTTTCTTCTGTGTGCCATGAACATTAAAAGCTGCATTAAAACCAAAACTCACTTTTAGATGAGAAACATCTTCAGCTATTTTGTTATTTGTTTCACATCATATATCTACTCATCAGTCAACATAAAAGATTTATTTCTCTTTAATGAAGCATTACTTTCAAAGCATACTCTGAGTATATATAAGTTGTATAGAGTAGAGCACGATTTCCAATTCAAATTTAAACACTTTCACTGCCATTGCAGCATTTAATGACGTTTCAGTCAGATTCTATACTACACTGAAAATCATGTCCCGTTTATGGTATATGGTTATGGTACAGTGAATTTATTGCATATTTTAATCTAGCCCTTCAGAAGTAAGCATGGTAAGCGAGCATGTAGCCACCATTGTACATGTAGAGCCTCATGTCTGTGGGGTTATAGTGAAGGTTGGCGACACCCGCTGCCACCTTCTCCATAGGGAGCGAGAGCGTGTTGTCCTCCATCCCTGTGGTCGTGTCGAAGGCGTAGAACACTTCCTCTTTATAAGTGTTTACGTAAAGCACCCCACACACCATGAAGGCGTTGGTCACTGAACGCTTGAACAGGCGTGTCTTCCATGTGTGTGTTATGTTGAAGCCTTTGGTGTCCACTCGACTCATGACCATGTTCCCGTGGTTAGCTTCCGTGGCGTACATTACCCACAAACCCTTGTCATCAGCTGAGAGGTTGATGTCTGTCCAATCGAAGCAGCTGTAGTAGCAGTAGGGGAATTTGTTGTTGAATCCACAGTGATATTTCTCATCATGCGCTCAGAACAAGAGCCTGGAACACAGAAAATATTTTTTTTTAAAAAATGATAAAAAGTGCCTGATGTGATGCTAGTGCCAAAACCTGACACACTTCTACTGTGGTTCCTCTCGCTCTCCGGACGCGCCTCATTCATCCTAATGCTTTACTTTTCTGACTCACCTTCTGCTGCTTTGGATGGCCCCACATGGATACTTTAAAGATTTACAAAAATAATTTATGTCAAGTCTCAATATTGCTCCAGTGTTGAATCTCACATGGATACTGTAGATTTGTACCTAAGAACTGCTTCTTCAAAATCTGCTCATATTGAACATTCTTTTAACATACTTAGTACTGTTTGTCTTTAGTCTTCTACAGCTGTATACTGTAATATATAATCTCACTATTATATAATCACCCAGAACAGGATAGGTTCCCTTTTGAGTCAAGTTTTTTTCCCCATGTTGGGTCAGGGTGTTGTTTCTCACCACTGGTTTATTCATTAGGGATCTAAATGTAGATTTGGATTCCTTTAAAGCCTCATTGTGACAATGTCTATTGTTAAAAGTGCTACACTACTTAAATTTATTTTCCAGTAAAACACCCACCCCCCACACAACCTGATGCTGCCACCTCCATGTTTCACAGTAGTGTTCTTCAGATTAAAAGCCTCACCCTATTCCTCCATAGCACTGAACATTATATCCAAACAGTTCAATTTGTGTTTCATCTGAACAGAGAACACTCCTCCAAAAGGCTAGGTCTTCATCCTGGTGATCGCCTGCAAACTTCAGTCTGGCTATTTTATGCCTGTTCTAGAGTATGGGCTTCTTTCTAACGCTAAACCTAGACATCCTTTCAGGCCATTACTATGTAGGATTCTCTTAATGGTGGATTTACAAACTTTGGTACGTGATGCCTGCAACTCCTTCACCAGTTCCTTTGTTGTAGTATGGGGTTCAGTTGAAATTTTCAGGCCAACGTTTGTTCATCCCTGGGAGTTAATTTGTGCCACCTTCCTGAATGCACTGTCTGTGTAGTCCCAAGACTACTTTTATATTAGCATACAGTTGTTTGTACAGATGCTTGTGGTACCTTCAGTTGTTTGGAAATTGCTCCTAAGGAGTAACAGGACTTAGGACTGGCTCCTAAGAGCCAGGACATTTTTTTGTCTGAAGTCTTGGTTAAGTTGCTTGGATTTTCCCATCTTATCAAGGGCAAAAAGGTACTGGCTCTAAAGGTAGGCCCTTCAATACAGCCACAGATGCACTCAATTTGCAAATCAAAATCTTATTAAAACCATTAAATCAATTAAAAAAACTGTAATCTTAGAGTTAGCTTGGAATATGCAAAATTTTGATCCACTGGAATTCAGACATAGTGAATTAAAGCTTTTCTAATCAACTGTTAAAATTACCTCTGATGTGAACAAACAAGATGTCCTGGCTTAACCAGG